AACATGTGGTTACTTCTCTATGAAACTGTGTTAATAAATACAATTATACCACCGATTTCTCGGAATTTCGAGTCCACCTGGACTATTTTCCAACTTGAATCTTCTCACTTGGAAATTTAGTAAAATCACGCTGTCCTTACTGCAGTTAAGAACGTTGCTCCGGGTAACGAGTGTAAATTTGCAAGTTCCATCCTAATTCGATGAAAAATCCTCATAAAAAGGCTCATTTTTCTACTCATCACTCTTACTTGCTTGACCATGTTTTCGCGTAACGAGTGTCTGCTTCTACCGTTTAAGCTGCATTTGTTTTGATGTTGGTTTCAATGTGATTTACCTTTTTTTACCGCAAAATATTTTCAAAATTGATTGGAAGCAAGTTGTCACTAAGAAAAGTGACCTGAACAACCTCGGTCATTTTCTTGATACACTCAATCCAACTTACAAAGGACCACGTGGGATGCAATAGGCTGCCAGGACACACCGTTCTTGCTCGTATTAAGAAATGTTTTGAGTCACCTGGTAACGTCGAACTTAATTCGGATGGTGTAGAAGAAAACCAACAGCCCAATTTCTTTACGGTTTGCCGCATAACCCCGCTAACAACAATTATTTAAAAGAAAGGTAAATTTTGATGCTTTTCTTGATTAATATCTCTACACGGTGGAAGATCAGTAAAGGGGAGTATTTATGTACATAGAATCGTGTGAGATATTTAGCAGGATTTATGCGTGTATGTGTGATAACAAGAGTAGGAGTTGTTCATTATCATTTCAAACATTGTCCCGTTGCTTCTTAGTCAGTCTCTCCACCAGCACCTTTTTGCTCAAACGTCCACTTGGGCGATTTCGATGCCTGACATTGAGGAGAGGTCCTTGTTCATCCCCGAACTGGCCCCACTGGAGCTCGCTTTATCCTGGGACTCGCGACCAGAATCCATCATCAGCTTCTCGTCCATTGTGTCACCAATAAAACCAGTGCCTGTGGTCTGTGAGGTCTTCATCTTAAGCAACTCTGCAGGCAACAGAAGAGTCGGTGGGAACTGTGTATGCTTCGAATTGTACTTTCCAGTCCCTATGCTCTCCGGGTCATGAGCTAGTGTTAACCGAGGTGGGATCGCGTCCGGAGCAGCTGCAGAAGTAAGTGACGATCCGGTGAACAACCGCCCACTTTCAGCGGCCATGCTGCTCCCCATCAGACCACCGGGAAGGTAATAGGCATTTCCACAAGCGCTACCCCTCCCGAGGTCAGAGGAGTGGTGACTGGTGTGGGGCGACCCGGTTTGACAGGAACACGGGGGTTGCTGCGTGCTCCCCCCTGCACCGCCCCAGCCCCCATTATCCGCTCTCGTAGAGGTGTTGTAGTAGAGGTGACCCAAAGGAGGCAGATCTAGGGGTCCTGAAGCGAATCCTTCGTCATTTGTACTTGGAGAACCGGTGTTTCGACTACTTGGAGCACTACCTAAACTTTCAGGCGTTTGCCATTTAGAGTTGAAGTTGGGACTTGAAGGATGCATAAAACCGCCAAAGGCAGTATTGAGTCTTAACGACGGGGTGGTGACCTAAATGGATAATAATGTAACTTCAAAATATGTTTTTTATCTGTAAATGAAATATGGTATTTTTGTCAGGATATTATTGCAAAGATTTCTGAGGAGATAATAATGTAAATTATTGCAATTAAAACAATTCGAACTTTTCATATTTACTTCCTAATGTTTCTAAAATTTAAAATCAATAAATTCCACATGCCAAGTTAACTCACAAAATACTTAAAGTGGCTAAGGCTAACGTGATGGGTCGTTGATTTGCCTTAGTACAAAGGTGAGGCAAGTGAGCAGAAATAGTGTTGATTTTTCAGTCGACACTGATGTTTTCCATTTGATATACTCGGCTTAGTGATTCACAAACCAATGGGTAGAAAGTTAAACCAAAATTGCAATAAACTGACCTGATATCGCATATCGACCAGTCCACCCGTCCTCAAATTTGCATGAGCGGGATCGGATTGTGGGCTTCTTGTTCCGACAGAGTTGCTGCAGGCGCTGCATTGCTGTGGCAAGGCCATGGACTGTTGCTGTCTCCCAGTCCACTGGTTGATCACGTCTGCAGTTTGAGCTGGTGCGCCTGCACCTCCACTTCCACCGGAAAATACGCTGCTGCAACTTAACCCAGGGTTCATCATAGCGGCGGCCGTTGTGGAAGACATTTGAGGAGACACCGGGTAGACCCCGCTGGCTGGGTCGGTATTTTTCCCACCTCCAGTGTTAAGAGGATTGTTTGGGTCGTCTTCAATGCGTGCTTTTCTCCGTCGAACCACCTTCCGGTGGCGAATGATGATTAGAGCAAGACAGCCGGCAGTTAGGAAGACTACGCTGAATATAATGACACCGAACAAGGCGTATTTCATCGGAGAGGAAAGAAAACTCGAAGACGATGAGGGAGTGGAGGTTGGAGAACCCGGGGAAAGAGAGTCTCGGGGCACTAGAAAATGACTCCGGCTGTAGTCGAAAGAACCTCCCACCATTGGTCCAGTCTGGAAAAATTATGAGCAATTTGGGCGGATGATTTGCACGATTATTTCCATAACAAATGGTGTACAGATAGCCATTTTTCTTGGATCCATTAAAGTGATACTTTTACTGGACGAAAGTGTGTTTTGGTAACTTGAAATTAAGATTAGTAATATGTATATTCCTTAACTGTCATTTACTTTGCTATTAACTAAAAGCGTCTATACTATTTACAAAGCCAGTTCAAGTCCTTTATGCTGTGATGAATTATGTTAATTTAAGTCCATAATCTCAATGCCGGTCCAGACACCTTGGCAGTTCACTACTTTCCAATACCCTTTGCTTCCAATCTGCCTCTGTTTTGAGCATATACAGATCTGTGATTTTCCCCGTGTACATCTGTAACACATTTGCATACCCATTATTATATGCACATGGACACATTAATAACTAAATAAATCCATTTAGTGGACTGTTGTCCCTCTATTATTTCTCTTGCTAAATTTTCTTCGGAATTAATATAGCTTAATTGTCTCACAAAGTGGCGGCTACGGTGTGGACACCCACACAATGGCTCCGACAATACATGATATTATCGATCACAGTAGACTAGAAACCAAAAACATCTGCCTTGGACAACAGGTAGCCGACATCTTTGAGTGGGTTCAATGCCACTGAGATTCCTCTGATGTACTGTAGCTTAGACACTCTCCACTAGGAATAAAATTAAGATGCATTGTGTCGAACGTCTGCTAATTAAACACGCACTACTTCCCTTGACAAAGACGGCAAATCATCAGCCCAGACAACGGTATGTCGACCACCTTGCAATCAACAGCAGCACCTCACTCGAGCCCAGCCTACCTCGGTGACGACTTTCACACTCACCTAAACAAGGTTTTTTACGACTTCCCCGGTCCCTCTATAATGCCTGCAGTTCATTGTAATTCACCACACCTACAAAAACTTGAAAATACATTTTATACCTATGAACCTGACTAGATTTCTACAAAATTAAGTAATTAGTTATTTTAAAATTCTAATCGCGACGAGCGTATTAAAGCGTGCCATGAAGCTCAAAAGACTGTAACTCACATCTCTTCGAAACTTTTCAATGGCTTCCTGTTCCCAGTCATATTTTTGACCAGGAGGCCCTGGGTCTTGTTGCTGACCCGCGGAGATAGAAACCAAAGGACGACCGTTTGTAAGGAAAACAGACGCCTTGGGAGCACACTGTGGTTGTCCAGTCCAGAGAGCGATACTCTTCATGTCGATCATGGGACCATGACCTAACTTTCCTGCTGCAACCAGGGCTTTACCTTCCTCTGTGACGGGAGCGATGTGGAGAGCGACTGCAGGATCCCAGACAGCTATCTTTTTGCTACTTCGAAGAAGAGCACTCACACGCACCTATAATTAAAGGTAGATATTGATGGTTTTGCTGACTGTTGGTAAGCCTACATAAGATATGCTCAAAACATTTCACGAATTCTCACACCGGGCTTGAACGAACTCTTCTTAGGCATTTAATTTCGCATATATACGTGACTGTTAATTGATTGTTAAAGTTCTTTGTATACCGGTGCACAGCGACAAGAAATGGATAGTTTCAAACCAATTTTAAAGAGAGGCTGATGTTTGCTTGCAAAGCAACAGTTTGTAAGACTAGAAATAGTTTTTTGTAATCAGTTGTCTTCCGAACCTCCGAGTAATTGTCAAATTCCGCCTCAACTATTTCAACGACGAATAATTTTAGCATGACTGAAAGTGCCGTCATACATGTGTCAGGTGATTTTATGAGAACACTTCCAGTTTTAAGTGCTTCGACAAATTATTTCATTCGAAAATGGCCAAATTGCAGTTTTTTGGCTTTATTAGTAACCTTAGTTAGCAGTTTTGCATCGGACTGAATTCAAGGTAGCCAAATATAAACCATAAAGCAACGAAGTAGATCCCAGTACCCAATTCTAAAAGGTTTTGAATAAAACGATCGGAAATTGGATTTAGCTCTGTTATACGAACTAATGAGATGGCCTGATATCACAAAATGGATCTTTTTAGAGTATACAACCAGCAACAAAGTTTTACCACATTTGCACACTTATTTTACTTACGTCATAAGATATTGAGTGTAACCTAAGGAGAAAAATCTCGACAAATCTGGGCTGGAAGCTTACTTTGTGTCCATTTAATTGCCTTAAAATCCACCTGCAATAGATCAGGTAACATTATTATTACCAAACCTAACATCATTACCTGTCCCTTGGGAAGTTGGTGAAGGCCAATCTCCGAGCCATCCTCAAGAACAAGTGATAAAGCAATTTTCCCAAGAGGGCAGGAGACGCTTTGAGAGGCCGATGAGACGTTTTGGAGGGCATCAGAATTCAGTGTTGCAGTGACTACGTGGACGTCAGTGGGGTCACGTCCACGTACGACAAGTTCAAGTACTCGGGGATGAGGGTGTGCAACGAAGTCGGCGACCATCTTCTTTTCATTGGGCAGCAAGGGCTGACGAGCTGCCTCATCACCTTCCACAGCTCCGTAGAGGTCGGTCGAAGAACGAAGCAAGGCATCAACTGAGGGGTGAGGTTCCAGTTGTCCAGATAAAGTTATCATCCAACTCTGGGATTGTGAAATATTTTGCTGCTTTTAGGGACCATTTCCGATAACTGACAATGGGCATTTTCCAAACCTGATTTTCATAGCTTTTACGATTTGCCAGTCATGCCGCAAGATGGCATGGCCCACGCTTCAGCTGCGCATAGATATGTCCCCTTTATAGCTTTGGCTAACCAGTTTGTAACGTATTTTAAACCACCCCTTTTCGTTTTTGTGCGGAGCTACAGTTCAAGCAGATAGGGAGATCCCATGTCTTGAATGACTTCGCGTGAAAATGTTTGACACCTAGGTACTAACATTACGCAATATGCGCCCCTCAATAAGATCACTTCAGGCGTTAGTTTTAAATGATTCATCACTTTCAAATTAGTGAATTTACCAAACGCAGACACGAAAAATTTGCTGTATTAGTGCTTCAAACGAATTTACCCCTCTTGCGTCACGTGGCGCGTTGTTCGTTTTCACTTGCGGCTTCAAGATACATTCACGTCTGTTCTGTTATGCCAATCTCTGACTCTATTTTAATTAACGCTGAGCCACTAAATCAGTTTAAACAACTTCGAAACCCATCACGTTCAGCAAGTTGAGTAATGCATTCCAAATTGTGCACGACAACGTGCCACATTAATGAAGTCCACGCAAAAAACCCAAGTAAAAGAAATATCACAGGTCTTTTAATATTTTGCATGAACTGACAAAAATATGCATCTATTAGCTTCAAACTTTAAAATGAACTAGCTATAGACCAATCTTGCATAGTTTACCATATCTGTAGGGCTACGAAATTTTTTTTCTCAAATGAGTCAACTTAACTCCAAAATGGGCTCTAGGAAGGCATGTGGACCCTCACGGCTTTTACAAGTTACTTCAACGGTTGGTGGTTTAGTGTGCAATGTTTGTTTGGACCTAAATTGGTTTTAACATCGACACATTTTTGTATCCTTAATATATACGCATGAGTCGACGAATCGAATCGGAAAATTCATTAAAATTGGCAATAGTGTCGGAAAACTGGATAAATTTTTCATTTTTTAACAATAAAAACACTGATCGGTCGTCCAGTTGTACGTCAAACATGTACCAAAACTTACAACACATTCAGCTTTTAATCGAACAAAGTCATTCTTTCCCGAACCCAGGATTGAAACATCTCTGAATGCCAACGGCTGCAAATCCTTGGGAGCACCGACCAACTCGATCCTCACTCGACCTTCATGTAGTCCAATCAGAAACGGATGAACAGAGCGTTCATTTCTAAAAATGGTAGCTGGTGCTGTGGGAAGTGTAGTTGAGTAATCAGTAGCCGGGGGAAATGAGCGGAGACGAAGACTCCAGGAGGGAAGTAGGTGGGTGATGTCTAGTTCAGCTGGACGGTGGGAAAGGTGAGCGTACTCCTCCGCAAAAATGTCATCAGGATTCAAACCCCCAGGCAGCATCTCTGAGAGGTACATTCGTTCACCTGTATCTGACAGTGTTGTGAATACCCTGCAGTAGACGTTAAAGATACAAATTAGAACCACTAAAAATACCGAGAAAATATGTGCTTGTTATAAAATATCAGCCAATTATGGATATCTAGCATTTTATGTCCTGTGGAACCTAAAAAGTTCATACCGTTTGGGCAGGCGTGATAGTTGTAACCAGCAAAAGTCGAAACGGAGAAATCTGACTGCACTGCTAAAGCATTATTTTAAAGTGGCCATTAGAGCTCTTAATCATGTATCATTTGTCCTTTGAACTAAATCCTCGATTTGCTTTCAACATTTAAATAAGATATTCAGTCACTAGGATTTAGATGTTTTCTACCTTGAACAAGACCGTGGTGAATGTATCATTTATTACTTGCAATAATTGAACACTGAAACCCTGTCGTCAAGACAACAGACTTGATCTAATTCGACAGGCAACCCATAGAATGCACACTTCAAGGAAGTCACTCTACTACGCACATCAATGTGCTCCTAAATGCTATCCATCGAAAGTGCAATATTCAAAGTAGCCTTTTCGCCAACCGAAATGATCCGGCGCATTGCCCAGCACTGACTGTGGATGAAAAAGATAAAGCTACTGGCAGTCTGATTGGCGATAATGGCATGGCTTGGCATCGCCCTATTCAATGAAAGGTCTAAACTCTGTCGCTAAATTTATTAAAATAAACATCCACGATTGACTCTCTTTATAATTCATCGAACATGCCAAAACGTTGAAGCGAAGTATGACAAGATGTCTGGATGCATTGTTTACATCCAAATGAATAAACCATTGTCATTTTATTTCTATTTGGATGAAACTAATACACAATGGTGACGAGGTTTTAATTTGACGACAAAAGAGAGGAATGCGTATTTACTATGTATGTAGGCAAGCGGAGTAAATTATAACAACACGAAAAGTGTCATTAACAATGTGACTTGAATAAATCGGTGGCCATCAAGGATCCTAAGCTAGGATCTAGTCCAGATGTGGTTCACATCAAGTTCCATCAAGGTAAGGACACGCCATACATTCATTACATCGACATAAATTGATTGGCCTCTTATTATTAATGAAAGAACATATGGCTTGGCTCAATTTCTTAATGCCATTTAGTGGTAATTTAGCAGTTTAGTAGGTTGTACTAAGTAGATAATATTTTGATCTAAGAAGTGTTGCCCAGTTACGATAAAGATTAGGGCGTCTATTTTGCAAATAAAGTTTATCGACACCACAAACTGCGGGTGTGAGCCTAGGCTTTGGAACAGTCGAGGCATGACAAATTTCGTTTCGTTTATTCTAGCTAAAAGGTAGTTGACTTAGCTAGATCTGCATCAGGCGACAAAACTAAAAATCAGCATTCAACTGAAGGCCACACTCAGTGATTATTACAGCTCAAAGCAAAACTTATTACTGCAATGTTGGGGTGTTTTGTCTCACTTGGGCTTGTGTCAGTAATGCATCATTGTGTGGAAAACCTGCGGGAACCCTTAAACACATACATAAAGTCCACTTTGCGACAAGTTGTAAGTGAATTCCAAAATATTTGCAACCTACATTCAATTCATTCAAGGATGAGGCTCAAAAAGTACACAGGCACATAGCAACAGTCCTTTTGCTTTTCTTACTTTTTAACTGAAAGTTGGAGAACAACGTTTCCTGACTCAAATAAATGCAAAAAGTTAACACAAATTTATTAAGGTTGCTATGTGGATGTAAAATCACAGATTTTGAATATCCCTACAGTACATCGAATGTATTTATGCAAATAAATCTGCGAATTGTATACTGAAGTAGTTGAAGTGAACGAATTGGATGAATTGAATTACTCAATGAAAACTTGGTGTAGTAATAAAAGACAGCTCGACGCAATATTCGTTAAGTCCACAGCTTGACAGCGCATGGTGAATGCGTTTAAATTTGCACTGAAATTCCACATAGATGCAGATCCACTTCTACTTTTTTTTCTGACTTAACCTACCGACAGTATTCAGTAATTGTAAATTTCGAATAATGGTTTTCGTTGTGATGAAAGTGATTAAATGAAGTCAGTTATAACTCTTATAACTTTGCCAAACCACTACGTTGGTTAAGGGCTGAAAACAGCCAGGCGTCGAATACATGGAAAATGTAATAATGAGTAATTTTAATGACAGGGTGTCATAATGGAAGTCAACCTAATGCTAACTTTTTTGACGTTTGATTGTAGTGTCTGCAGTTTTCGAGGTTGCTCTTATCTGACAATAGCCACCGCAAATTAAAACTCACAAATGTTCATTTCTGCACGAAGCCTAGAATACCTATTTGGTACTTAACAAATATTCCAAAGTGAAAAGTCATTTTGTGGTTTAGTGTTTATTCGAATGATATTGCCATTAGTCTAAGTACTAAGACAAAACCGTTACTGGGCAGTTACAGTAGTGCATGCCATACACAGAATTAAGCTTGTTGAACAGGACGATGGTTCTGTTGTCACTCAGGCTCATTTCATTAGATTTGAGAGCAAACTTTTTCTGAAAATTCAGTCAGATTAACGAAAAGTCGGACGTGTACTTCATTGATTGTAGTGCAATGTTTATGTATGTTAATTACCAAGAGAAGACTGCCTTAGGATTTTTTAACCGGTGTTGTGAAGAGAGGAACACTTTCATTGAAATGATTTTGCCACGAAAATATTGTTTTATGAGCTGATAAATCAAGTTTATTTTCCGAAACGCAAAATGGTCTGGCGCCGAATTAAGTGATTGACACGTGAACTCCTGCGATTAAATTTACTCGAAAGAATTTCTTATCGAGTAGATTGAGCTAGCTACGTGCCGTGTGGTCTCAAACAGGCAGAAAGCCAAATTTTTTACCCAAAATGGCTTTAAGGAAGGCATAAGTTGCTACTATTGTCTAATCTAGATTTTTATTGTTTTTTGAACAGAAAAGCCCATTTTATTAGCCTCATAAAGGACAAATGTCCGGGCAAGTAATTCAGAGAGACATATGTTCACTTGAATCAAAAAGACATTATAGGGATTTTGAGTTGCATAAGTGAGACAAGGCTAATTGTTAATGACCAACCAAAATATGTCGTGGTAAGTAGGCAAATCACAAATCACAAATATGTCCGATTTCATGCTGTTCCTGGGTCACGTAAACCACATTATCTGGGCGGGTCCTAGATGATGTCCTTCCAGTTATGGGGCCAAAACATGTTACTGAATATAATGAGGGAAAAAAATTATGAACTAGGCATACACAAGACACCATTGTTAAAATGCAAACCTTATAATTGCTCTATAGAAGTCGCCACAAAGTGGTTTGGTGTGGGTGCGAGTATGCCCAATATATACTTCCGGATTTTCATGCATAAAAGGAAAGTTACATGGTTATTCCATGTTATGGAATAGTTTACTAAAAGTGCTGATCATTCACAGTTAATGTGACCTCATTTTGTTGCTATTGGTCAAGCGTTCCAGCTCCAGGTAGTACTATGTCACATCAAGAAGGAAGCAGCCACACTCGTTTACCAGCACGTTTCTGCAAAACTTTCCTCCGCCATTTGTGGTATTACATTGGGCGTTATAGACCACCTAGTTTTAATTACTTTCGTTTGGAAAGTTGTGTTACGTAGTGGCCCGACGTTCATCTCACTTTTACTGCGACTGTGATTAATTAAAAATAATGAAGCAGCTGTTGTTTTTTTACATATTGACACAGACAAAATGTTCGATAATTTAAGCACACAAATATTTTAGGAGAGTAAACAAAGAAGGCCTGCTATAATGTTAGCAAGTATTTGTATCTACATTTTAATCCTAACAAGTTGTGAGAACTGAAATTAGGACACATGAAACATTAAAGTTATAATTTCTGGGTAACTACAGGAGATCCTTGAAATATAGCTTTTTAATGACGTCTTCTGAGTCGGAAACGTCAGCAGACAGCTCCTGTAAGACACTCATAGCTACTTTGATCAACATAGTTTTCAAAAGCCATTCAATGTTAACTCATTTTGTGTAGTTATTCCATTGAGCTGAGCAGACATGTCAGATTATTGCTTTACAAATATTGCGTCCCATAGACGGTGTCTTTGTTTCTGTTTGTAGTCTTAGATCTAACCTAACTGGCAACCGGTCACGTTGTCTACGTACGAGACTTTAACAACTGGATAGTTATGCCGCGCGATGAGCTGCGGGTGTTTTAATTCAAACATTACGACTTACAATTAATGGATCCTATGGTAATGAGCCCCAGGTTCAAACCCACGCCATGGGGTGGTAAAGGGGATTAATTAATGATAATGAGTTTTCTACTTTAGCACTGAGGTTTTAACATAAGATCAAAATCATTCCTGTAATGCCGAGTCACACAGACTTTCCTGGTTAAGTATGGGGCAAAATAATTTCGACTAAAATACTCTCCTCTGATGAGATCAAAGAGATATTCAGGGTTTAACAAAGAGTAGAAAAAAGCGAGCACTTTTTTCTCCATCGGCACGATTTCCACACCAGCCATCCTGATGTGTTCCCTTTTAGACAGACAAGTGATGGAGATAGCTCACTTCGCTTTTAAATCTGTTTATTTTTGGACAATAAGAACTTGTAATTCTGTTATATTCTTGATCTTGACAATCAATGACAGCGAGGTCGTTTTGTAATAAAGAGTTACTCTGCAAAATAGCTAACGATTAGTTATTAAAAAACCTCGTTATAGTGGTTTAAAGATAAGTTTAAGCACAAGTGATTTTGTTGTGTATAAATATGCGGATGTTATAGTCTTGATACTTGGGAGATTAGAAAGCAAAGTGCAAGTCTTTTAAGTCTACAATACAATCATTTTTAGGTGTCTGATTCCAGACTAGTTAATGCGCTTAAATCGACAAGGCACCACTGAAAACCTCAAAGGTTTTTAAAAGAAAAATTGGGAATAAAAAACACAAAAATCCTCTTGCGATAGAAAAGTGGGTTGGAGGTATGGGGTTCATAATCTGCTTGTCATGCTAATGAATTTGTGCTTGATTGCATATTAAAAAAGCCGACCATAAAGCGAAGAATGCCTGACGATTCCACACGAGATTTCGAGAATAAGATAAAAATTTACGGCTTAGCAGCAGCCGAAGGAAAATCAAAATAGACTTTCCTTCATGCCTTT